CCCTTGAGGAGTTTTTTAATGGGGACAGAAAAAAAAATCTATGATCCAGGCCTTTCAGTCAAAGGAGTGTTTTAAAGGTAGTGTTTTAAAGGCCCCTTCAGATGGATATGGACATCTGAGCGGGGCTAGGTTCTGTGGGTGACAAGGGATGGGACCCAATGGCTCCCTTAGAAGCCTAGATGGCTCTTCCCTTCCACAGCAGCTGGATCTGTCGCTGCGAAGGTCTGACCCGGACTTCTATCAAAAGCCTGATGGTGAGGGGTAATGCTGGGGAACCCAGGCATGTGAGTCATCTATACCCACTCTTTACTGACCCAGTGACAATGGGGCTTCTGTACAGCCCTGCCCTGTACTCCAGCTCCAAGCTGAGGCTAGGCTTTCCCTCTGAACCCAAGTCATTTGCCTACAGCCAGCTTTCCAAGGCCCCAGCTCCAACCTGGATCCATCCTTCCGGGATCCCACCAGCTCAGCTCATCATTGCCTTCAGACCTAAGATCCATGCCTTATGCCAGCAGGGCCAGGGTGACCATGGGGCCAGGGGAGTCACTTTCAGTAGATAGGCAGGTCCAATTCATTTTGGTCACTTCCTTTTTCATGCCAGCCCACTGAGCTGAGTTCCCAGCTTTCCCAGCAGCAAGAGAACTAGAATTAGGATGTTATAGTTATTACCATCAAGCAACAATATAACTGTGTGTGTGGAGCTTTGCTTAACAGAAGAGGCTTTCTTTCTAAGACACCCAGGCAAAGGTATGGGTACTTGGTATAAGCTAGCACATTCTTGGCAGCACTCCCAGAAGGATGGCTGGGAAACTCAGGCTTTGTTCAGGTATGGAAGCAATAGGGAACGACAGGGTGACCATGTGCTGGGAAATCAGAACAATATGTAGGGGTCAACGCACAGTGTATCCAAAACACTTGTGCAGAGTGGGGAGATCTGAGAGGTTCATTAGAAGGGGGCTGGTTCTAGCCTTCAAAGGTGCAGTGGATTTGGCAGTGGGCAAGGCCTGGCAGGCAGCAGAAGTGGGGCCAGGAAATGCAGGGTGAGGTTCAACTGGATTCTGCAAGTAAGACAGCCACAAGAGTCTCTGGGACCTGTTAACACAGGCAGAATCAGGTGTAAAGACACTCAGTGGTACGAACCTCAGGATTCTGGGGAAGGGGAGGCCAGAGAAGTGGCAGAAGGAGAAGAGGCCACACTGAATACTGACTACTTTGGAAACACCAGGATTTCGGGATGAATTGAAATGGGAGGAGAAATGTCCAAGATGATGCTAAGGGTTTATGAAGGGCTAGGTGCATCATCTGAGGTCTGGCAGTGGAGAGGGATGCTGTTGGTGGGAAGTGGAGGACTTGGTTGGCACATGCCAAGTTTGAGGTGTTGTGGGTCTTCCAGGAAAAGATGGAAGGAGGCATGCACAGCAAGGGTCTGTGGGTAAGGAGTGAGGTCCTTGGAACAATGTTATGGTTAATATCTCGATGTCTTCCCAAAGGCTTGTGTGCTCGTAAGTGAGGCTTTGGGGAGGTGACTGATCATGAGGGTGTGGTACTCACCAGTGGATTAGTCCTTTGATCAGTTTATAGCTAAATGTGATGTCAGGAGGTAGAGTCTGTTTGGAAGAGGTGGGTCAATAGGGGCAGGACCTGGAAGGAGTTCTCTCCCTCCCAGGGTTGGCCCTTTGCTCTCTGCTTCCTCTTTGTCATGCCATGAATGGGTCTCCACTGCCATGCTCCTCTGCCATGCTGCCCCGCCTTGCAGCCAGCCAACTATGGAATGAACGCTCTCCATACCATGAGCCAAAATAAACCTCTCCTCCTTTAACTCGTTGGTGTTGGGTATTGTGTCTCAGCCAGTGATGAGGAAAGTAACTAAGATACACAGTGATGTTTGAAGCCAAGGGGATGGATGATGCCGGCAAGGGAGACCACTCAGGGCAAGGATAAGTGAGTCCCCCTGGTCAGGCAAAGGGGCTGTCATCACACCAAGACTGCCGACCCTCTCGCCTCACCTGGTCAGTTGTCATAGCCTTCCAGGCCTGGCCCCACACCCTTGAAGCTCTCCAGCTACTACTCCAGCCTCAGACACCCTTCTCTGTAGTGGCTCCTCAGCCCCAACTGTTCCTACCTCAGCACTAGGTCTTGTGTTGTTATCTTGGGGGGGGGTCCTCAACAAGGGCAGGACAGCAGTTTGCCCCATTTAGGTCCTTATATCTTCTGATTCAGAGCACTCATAGGCACTAATTAAATAGATCTCCTGTGATGGATTGACTAATTGATCTATTGCTGGAAAGGAGGTCAAGGAACTGAGGAAAGATCTTGGCTGGAGATAGGATGTGTGTTTATGAGGATGTTGGACACACACAGCATCTCCTCTTTTGTGTCTGGCTTAGGGAATTATTATTGCTAACTGGGTCTCAACATGGACACATCTGGAAAACACTGAGTAAAACTAGCAAGGTGCAGATGCGTATTAAACAGATTAGCGTTGTCATAAGCTCCATCTATGGACTATTTCAGGTTCTCCCAAGCACAGGTAGGGTTGTATCTCTAGACATGACTTAGGTGAGGCCTTGTGACCTGCTCCATCCAGTGACAGGAGCAGAAGCCCCCAAGCAGGAGCTTTAGGAGCAGCACACAATGAAGTTCCCTTCTTTCCTTCTTAGCCCACACTGGCCTGGACCCCTCAGTGGACCCAGTGAATGCCTCCATTGAAGACCCTCCTCCAACATGTACAGCAGTGAAAAATACACATTGACTGCATTAAAAAAGAAAAGAAGAACTGAGTCTGAGGCAAAACCCTGGTATGACCATGGATGGGTGGGCCTGAAGGATGTATCCAATGTATTGGGGTGGGAGACACTTGGTTACTTGAGTGGATCAAGTGGTTGCATGGTTGGTTGAATGGATGGCCATATCCCCGGCTCCACCCATGAAATGCCAGAAGTGCCCTCAGTATGTGACAACTAAACACAGCTTCCCTTTCTCTCTGACATTTGCATATACTTCAGGGGAGGAAACCAGCCCCAAGAGAACCAAGAAGGAAGAGGAATTACTGGAAGTGAGGTTGGGAGGCACAGCAGGGTCTGAGTGGGAAGCTGCCTGGAGGACAGAGGTCCTAATGGGCAGCACCATATATACTCCTATGTATCCAAATGGGGTGTGACAAGCAAGAGTGAGGATCCTAATTCCCACAGTCGGTGGAGCAGAGTGAGGTTTCCCAGCGACAAGGCCACAACATCTCTTCACTGAGTTCCTGTGAATTTCCACAGGTCTCACGGGGTCCTCTGAGCATCCTAGAGGTATTTCACTAGCCCCTTCACAGATGAAGACACTGAGTGGTGGCGGATGGGCTGAGGTTGGCCAGAGGCAGGTAGGAGCACCAGTTGGGAACAGGAGGGACAGTCTTCAAAGGAGTGAGTGATTCTGAAATAGCAGATGGGACTAAGTGACAGCTGCAGGGGACATGAACATGGGGACTACTGTCTAGGCTGCGCAAAGAGAAGGGTCTCAGGTAGGAAAGCAGAGATGTTCAGCAGGCATCGGGGCAGGGAGAGGCTCCTGCCAGCTGCCGGTTCAGAGGCCCAGCCTTCTCCAGTGACACGGGCAGCAGGAGGAGGTCTTCAGGAACCAGGCTTCCAGGCTAGAGGTGCCTATCTCTTCATGTAGTCACAGAATGCCCTGAGAGGCCGGCTCTGGGTCATCAGCCAACACCATGGAGCCCCTCAGAGTCCCAGAGACAGTATCTGTCACAGGAGGGAAGAGACCACCTTACTGTGACCAGACACATCAATCCTAGGATCCAGTCTTCATGGCCTTTGAGGACCCACTGGCATGAGCACACAGAGACACACGAGGGCGCTCTAACCAAACAGCAGGAGTAGAAAACAGCCATCCCCATTGGAGAGTCGGCATGCTGAAACACTTTCATCCAGTGTTCCTCCCTGGAGCCGCTCCTGTTACTTTAGATAGCATGTTTCAGGGATATTTGCCATCTCTGACTCTGTCCCCATGGCTGATAACTGACCCCCACCCCCAGCCCCTCTTCTTAGTGCCAGCAGATGATGCCAACCAGTGGCCTTGAGGAGTACAGTAGTCTCTGCTCTCCTCTCTCCTAACTTTGCAGAGGACTGCAGCGGTTGCAGGTGCCAGAGAACTGAGTGACAGAGCTCCCACGTGACAGCCCATGTTGGCTGAGTCTCATGGGGTCTGCTGTCCTCAGGTGGCCAATTTTCCTCTACAACATTATTCCTCAGGACTGTGTGGGACCAGGGGCCAACCTGATCACACCAGGGACACAGACACAGGACCCTGAGACAGACAGAGTGGCACCTGCCACAGACACCCACATCCTGGGAGCTAACACAGAACACAGCGGGCACAGAACACTCCCACAAAACATGTCTGAAGTGAGGTGCCCTTCTATAGCCTGGGAGCTCCCAAAGTGCTGAGTTCCAAGATGTACAGATCATGGGCTTCCAAAGACAAGCACCAGAGGCAAACACCCAGGGATGATGTTCAAAATACTCTCCAGCTGTGAGCTGTGGGCCCCGGCCAGTCAGCACAGGGAGCCATGTAAATGGTGTGTGCCACAAGCTCCGGCCCTGCCAGGGCCTTGGGGGCAGAGCCTGAACCCCGGTGGGAAGCTGGGCATGGCAAGGGGCCACCTGGATAGGGCAGAGGTGATGTCTGGGGAACACACACCAAAGGAAGTGGTAGTGTAGACATGGCTGGGAGGCAAGGGCAAAGAACCTGGCCCAGAAGTTGAGGCAGTGCAGTGCTGGAGAAAGACCAGAGCCCTCCAGGTCTTCAACAAATATCCAGTATTGCACATCCCCATCAAGTGACCCCAGTTATTCTCAGAGGCAGCCTTCAAGTCCCGAGAGGGTGGTGCACCAGGGCACCTGTGGGCACAGCACTGCCATGAGATGCTCACAGCCTCTGCCCACAGGCACCATAATCTCTCATTCACAGGAAGTAGTCTGGAAACCAAGTGTGAGTCTTACCCTCCTTCGAAGATTTTGATCCTTGCCGGCTCCGCTCTCTTGGAGGTAGGAGCATCCTCCTCCGGCTTCCCTTGCTTCTCTTCTTCCTTCTCCGCTCTAGCTACCTCTTTCTGGCCTTCTGAGGAAACCAGTGATGGGAGGTGCACCTGGCCCACCGCAGGGATGACAAAATTATTGCTGGTTAAATTTGCATTCTCAGCCAGGAGGGTCCTAATGATGATTGCCTTTCTTGGCCCAGCTCCCCAGATCTCTCCTCACTGAGAAAGTGCTATCAGCCAGACTTGACAGATCAAGGAACAGAATACAGAGAGGTGACATTTCCTCCATGCTGGGATTCTGACCCAATCTTTGAGGGTCACCCTCCCTCAGGAGCTGGGGTTGGTCTTTGTCTTTTGCACTAGCCTGGGAACTCCCGGGCACGGGTCCTTATCTTGCTCTCCTTGGTCAGGTAGGTACCCCAAACAGGGCCTGCTTTAGAGAAAATGCTTAAAGATGGTGAACAAATTACCCCGACGTGTTGCTGTACACCTGTAATCCCAGCACTCTGAGAGGCCAAGGAAGGAGGACCACAAGTTTGAGGCCAGCCTGGGCAACTTACTGGTTTAGTGAGACTCTGCTAAAAAATAAAAAATTTAAAAAAGGCTGGGGATGCAGATCAGTGGAAAGAACCAATTCCCAGCACCAAAAAAATAAAAAGTTGAACAAATAAAGTCTCTTCTATGTCTTTGGAGATTAACTGGTCCAATATTCACTGGTAGAACAAAATGCCATGGTCACCGAGTAAGTTAAGGGCAGAGCTGGAACAGAGCATAGGTCACCTGTTTCCAGGACCTCAGTCCTCCCATGCTAGTGCCAATGGCCTGGAGGCCACAAGATCCTCCCACCCCCACCTTGAGCCAGGCCCAGAGAGGCTTATGAAGGCTCTGGGATGCCGCTCTCAGGATTCATTCTATTTATAGAGCTGTGAACCTCAAAGAGACCTGGCTCTACGCAGAGGGCTGGCATTAGCTTTGTGCTTCCTGATATCTTCCACTCTCCCAAGAACATGCCCTCTATCCCCTCCAGGGATGTCAAGGGGTGGGCATGCCTTGTGTAGGGAGCAGTGATACTATGCTAGGGGGCTGGGCCAGTGGGACTGAGGAAAAAGGCACCTAGCTAGAAATCAAGAGGTCTCAGTTCCAGTACCAGATAGGCCACTGCACACTGAGCTACCCTTGAGTAGATTATTTCACCTCATCAGGTTTTGGAGTGCATCAGTTTAGACTATCTTAAAGGTTCACTCTAGGGCCAAACTCTGTGACCAATTTACTTCCATGTAATTTCTTTAGAATGGGAGGTGGAAAATGAAAACCAAACAAGAATCTAGACTGCTGCTTTGGCAAAAGACAGTGAGTTCTTGCAAAGCCTGGGTTTCTGGAGCATGCTGTTGATTCCACTCCCATCCTGGCCTTCAATCTAGTCAGTCTATGGAGTGATAGGTGCTGTCACAGGCCAAAGGACAGCTTCTATCTCATGGCTTGCTGTGACATCTGGACCAAGTTGAGGAGGCTGGCTTGGTTGGCAATGTACCCTCCTACCAGGAAACACAGTGTTGGAATGGACAAGGGGGCCTGGTACCCATTTTTGGCTTTTAATGATAATAGTATGAATAAATAGAGCTAAAAATGATTACTGAGTGTCAATGTGCCAAGCACTGTTCTGTGGACACTTTGCATATTTTAAATCATTTAATTGTCTGCATAATCTTATGAACTAAGCATTATTACTATCCCTATTTTATAGCTAAAGAAAGCAAGGCACAGAGAGGTGGAGTAACTGACCCAATATCATACAGTTAGTAGATGAGGTAGTGGGATTCAGATGTGGGCAACTTGGACCTGGATCCTTGTTCTAAATCTTTTTTGACAGTGCTATTGTTGTCAAAATGATCCCTAAGGAAAAGAAAAAGAAGAAACTTAAGGAAAGGAATGTGGCTGTAAAGTGGAATGTTACACAAGCTTGGATTTTTTCAGAGTTTATACACAGAAAAAAATACATAGGACCACATTCAGCCTTGATAGCGTCACCTATGGCTAGGAAAAGCTTCAAAATGCTAAGACAAACCAAAGGACATTTTCAGAACTGACATGAATGGAAGCCACAGATGACAACTGCCAGCTCAGTGGAATACAAAACTTCTTAAAACATGATCCAAAGGCATATTGTGTTATACAGGAAGTGGTGAGCTCCTCTTGCCTCCACTGGAGATATACAAGCAGAGATCAGAGAAAGAGGTGTAATTGTACAAAGGCCTCAACTTGTAGATCATGCAGTTACATTAATGCACTAGTGTGGTGCACTTCAGGCAGTAAACAGGTCTTTGAACCAAATTGAATATTCTAAGAGCTCATTTCAGAAAGGCAGCATTATAAACAAGTGTTGGCCCAATCTAATGAAGCCAAATTAACACTTTGTTTTTCTTAAATGTCCTTCACAATTTTTATAAGGGAATAGAGGCAGTCTAGATCATGTGAAAGAGCTTTGGAGTGAAATATAGTTTTGAATCCAGTCTCTGACATTGGCTGTGGGCCTTGTGCAAATTACAGAACATCTCTGTGCTTTGGTTTCTTTATCTAGAAAATGTTGATATTGCATCCTAACTTTCAAGATACTTGTGAAGATGAAAGTAAGGTTTTGCATCACAATTGGCACACAGTAGGTGACCCAAAAGTTTTAAGTAGGAATATAATTACAATAGCATTTTAGCAGTAGCCACAGCTAGGAAGAGACAAGGGAGAGCAAAAAATACCATAAAGGACGAGTATAAAGTTCTACAGTTGCTATAGGCAGTCCCATCAACCAAGTTTTCCAGCTCTTTTTTAGAAAAGCCTTTTTTTCCTTGCTGAGATTGTACCTTTGATTTTACATGGAAGCTCATGAGAAAGCAGGATCACCTCATAGCTAACTTCATAGAGATGAATCTATTCCAATAATGTGAGAGGCACACTGATAAAGAAACCAATAAATATATTTCCCTGTAAGGTGACCAGTTGTAGCTGGAAGAGAGAAAATCTGCTTCCTCTCTTGATTCTAGTTCTGCAAATGGAACCTGAGAACAATGTGGCTTTAAAAGCTCAGTAAGAATTTTTGATAACTGGTAGTAAGAAGACAAATAAGGCTGAACTTACCTCTGTCATGCGGGGCTTGCGGGAGCTTGATGGCACAAGCCTTCCTGTCTCAGGATGTGGAGCTGTAGCCATGGTGTATGTCTCTTTGCTCACCTTCTGCTTAGACCTCAGGAGGGACAAAGCAGCTTTAGTGGAAACCCCTGGAAGGTTGGGGTTGTACAAACTTATGCACCAACCAGCATAAACAGAGGACCTCCTATCTGCATGCTGGATGTGATTTGGCTTAATGTAGTTTAAATAGCACCAACTGACATTAGTGGTTGTGTGGAGGCTGGGGAACTGCAGTACCTTCTTTGAGTCCGTACCTTCTTGTGACTTGGCTGGTCTGGGGGACAGAGGCAGACAGCTGGGAGGTGCCAGGGGAGGGAGGTCCAGTTGTTCCTTAGAATCTTCTTTCTTCACACTCAGTGGGGGCAACCCTCTTCTGTGAGGTTTTCCAGGTGGCTGGGTATATTCCTTCAAAGCTTCTGAGCCTGGGGCTGTCCCATGGGGCAATGTGGGGTGAGGGAGGGAAGGAATCTCCTGTGGGTCAGTTGGAACTGAGGACAGGCTGGACAGTGCTTCCAGGTCCTTCCTGCCTTGGCCCTGGCTTCCCAGGTGGGACTTCTCTGTCCTCTTCCCCTCCTCCATGCTGGTTAGCACTACACTGCATGGTTTTACCAGCTCAAGTTTGTCATCTGCCTGGGAGGCCTCCTCCTCCTTCACCCTTTTTTGCTGCTGGGTTTCCATGGTAAGTTCAAGGCTGCCAGCTGGTGAAAGGACTCGCTTGCTTCCTCCTACTGTCGATGAACTTCCCTCTAGGCTTGAGACACTCTCTGATGATAGGGACATACCTTTCCTTTCAGGCAGTGTCACAGGCACTCTCAGGTATGGAGTCTGGAAACCTCTGTTTTGCTCTTCACTTAACCCAGATGGTCCAGGCCCAGCCTCATACATATCTGCCCCACATACAGCAAATCCCTTGGATGGGGCCTCCTCACCCTTGGAAAGAGGTGCACTGGCTGAACTGCCTTGGGACTGTGTGACCAAGATCTGAGAAAGGGTAGTGTACATTGCACTCCCATAGGACGGCATGTTGGTCTGAATGCGGACGGGCACAACCAGGGACTCCATGGTGTCTGGACAGGCAGGCAAGGCCAGTGGAGGGGCTGATGTGGGTGCTGAGGAGCTGGCTGGAGGAGCTGTCGGGGGTAGCTGCATATCACTGCTGTGCCCTATGCTGCAGGAGGGGCCAGGAGATCCCGTTGCCAGTGGGGCCAGGGTGGTTTTGATTGGAGGCAGATGGCTTTCCACATCGCCAGGGAGCTGCAGTGCAAACTGAGATTGTAGAGGCAGGAAGAAGCCAGAAGAGAGTGCCGAGGAGGCAGGGTATGGCATAGGGAGAAAGGAAGGGGGTTGCTGGAAGGGGATGTTGGCAGGGTGAGGCAGCAGCTGGGGGAGATGAACCTGGCCTGGGTGCAGAACAGTGGGTTGGAGTGGAAGTGGTGGGGCTTGGAATAAAGAGGGAGGGAGTGGGGGCATGGAGTATGGGGAGGAGAGGAGGCTGGACATGGCCTGTGTGGAGAAGAATTCTGAAGACTGTCCTGGCTCGTGCTGCAAGAGGTGCTGGAAAGAGAAGAGAGAAACTGGCGGGGGCAGGTATGGTTTGTCCTGCAGGGGCAGCTGGGCAACAGGGTGGTGGAGCACCTGCAGAGCTTCTGTGTAGGGTGGAGTAGACCCCAGTGGAGGCCTGTCTTGCACCTGGCTCTTGCCTCCTAGGTGCCCACTGTGCAAGGTGGCTGCTGAAGAGACCTGGGGCAACAAGGTTTTGGTGGAAGGTTTGCTGGATGAAGGCTGTGGTTCCTCAGCATCCTGTCTTCCCTTGGGGGTGGCATCTGGCTCAGTTTCTGGAGGCCTGCTCAGAGAGGCCTGTCTGACCAAAAAGCATTTTCTTCTCTCTGGCAGGGCTACTGAGACTGGGGGAGCCACTGGGGCTGGGACAGAAGGGCCTGTCAAGGACAAGCTACCATAGTCGAAGGATTTGCTGCGTGTCTCGGTCATGTGAGCAGAATGGGAAATGTTGGGGCTCTGCTCTGATGCTGACCTCCGCATCTCCCGAGCATGTGGGTGGTGGCTGGGGACAGTCAGCATGTGGGAGCCCAAGGGTTTGGGACGAAAGTCTGATGAGGGCCCAGTGGCCTCCGCTTTCCCATGCTCATCCCTGTCAAATGAGGCAGAGCGGCTGGACCCACTCAGAGAGACACTGCTTTCCTGGCTCGGGCTGCGAGACAGAGGCACAGATGACTCGAAGCTGGATTCCCCCGATGACTGGGCCATCTCTGCCAGGCGCAGCCTTTTCTTCTTGGGTGGCAGCTTCTCAGCAGGGAGTTGGGCGAGTGTCTGGCTGCGCTGGGGCCACTGGAACTCCTCTGTCTTCTCGGGTTCCTTTGGGGGTGGCTCAGGCTCCGTGTCAGGCCGATCCGGCTCCTCAGTCACCAGGATCTCAGGGACCTGGATGTTAGGCTGGCGGACCAACCTGGGCTGCAGGGAGTGAGCTGAGCGTCCTTGTGGGGCAGGCGGCAGGGATGAAAACTGGGCCAGGGACTTGTCTTCCCCTTCCAGGCCACTGGGCTGCTCGAGAGGGTCAGATTTCTCAAAGGAGCTGGTGTGCTGGATGACTGAAATTTCTTTGGATGTTGTTCTCCTCTCCTTCCCTGATTCTGCACCAGACCCTGGCTTAGGAGTCCTTGGCTGGAAGCCCGTGGGTCCCTCCAAAGAGGGCACTGATTTACCTGGTTCTGCTGGTGACTTGGTGGACTCTAGGGGAAGGTTCCGAGCAGTGTCAGATGGCCCAGGGCTGCCAAACTGACTTTTTGTTGCGTCAAAGGCAGGCGGCTCCTCCTCATCCCCAAGGCTCTTCTCTTTCCTTCTCTTCCTCAATGGAGTGAGCTCTAAGGTGGGCCCCAGTTTATAATGCATCATCTGGGACCACGGTTCATGCTCTACCTGGCTCTTATCAGCTTCAGGAGTTGCATGGGCACCTGCAGAGAGGGGCTTTGCAATCTGGAGCTCTGAGCAGTAGTACTTTTTATGTGCTTCATAATTATCCCTTTTCTTGTACCGAGCACCACAGATGGTACATTCATAGATCACCCCTTTCGTTTTCAACCCTTTCTTGGTCTTTTTGGTAAGTTCGCTTTCCTTGGGCTCTGGATCATCAGAGGGCTTGGAGGCTGTCTCTTTGCTACTTGGTCCAGCTTCCTCGGCACTGTACTCACCTCCCAAAGGCAGTTCGATGGCTGGCTGGCGCTTCAGCATCCGGGGATGGGAGGTAAACACTGGACTGCTGCGGCTAGGGGCCTCAGAATCAGGGATGTGGTCGTCAAAGGAGTAGCTACCTCGGAAGGTGTGGTGCGGGGTGCTGATAGTGCAGGCGGCAGAAGGCATTGAGTGGCTTCTCAGGAGAGGCACAGGGGGGTTGGTGCTGGATGGGTGCTGGAGGCTCATCAGTGATTGTTCCGGCTTTGTCTTCTCACCGTGGGATGACACGGGCTCCCGGTAGAGGCTGGATTTGGGGGACTCCATGCTGCTGCGCCTGGTCAGCGAGCTCCTCCTTGGCTTCACACTGTCAATCTCACTGGTGTCCACCACGGCCTCATTGATGGTGATGAGCTTTGTGATGTGCTCGATCACCTGTGTCCGGGGCACAGACAAAGGCACCAGGCTGGGCTTGTCTTCAGTGGACAGGGGCAGGAGTGGCTGGGTGGAGGTGGCCGTCAGCATGGCAGTCCGCTGCCCGATCCGCCCACACTTGCCGAAGATGATCTCTGCGTAGGACTTAGCATTGGTGTTTGGGGGACTGACCTGCTGTTCGGCGCTCTCAGAGCGTGAGAAATACCCAGACTCGGTGCTGCCTTTGCTGCCTGGGCTCAGAAACGCCTGCTCGTCAATCACCTTCTTTCGCTCACTTAAGCGGAGGGCCAGCTTCTGCTTAATTGTGTGGGTGTCTTCGGGTTTATGGCTCAGGGGATGCTCAGATGAGGGTTCTGCAAATGGAGTGGGGTCCTCGAGTGATGGCGCTGTGCTGGATTGGGACAGGGAACAGCGTTCGTGGCTGGAACCGTGGCTCCCTGAGCTGTATAAACCACTGGAAAGGAGGGGGTGCTTAAGTCTTGGGGAGAGCTCTGCAGTGGGACCAGATGTGGTGCTAGTTTCCTCTTCTGAGTCTGTGCTTTCTCCCTCGGTAGGCTCCTCAAACTCTTCCCCAGGGATCCTCTCCATTTCCAGCCCTGGTGGGTACATCTCACCACCCATTCCGGAGGCCAGGCCAGCTTTGATGCGGTGGGCATGGGACTTCCTGTGCTTGTAGAGGTTGCTCTTGGTCTTGAAGGAGAAGCCACAGGGGCCGCAGGGGTAGGGCCTCTCGCCAGTGTGTGAGCGGATGTGCTTCTGGAGCACACTGGGCTTGGCACAGGGCCGGCTGCAATACTGGCAGATGTACTTGCCCGGCTTCTGGGGTTTCCGTTCCTTCTTTTGTGCCTCTTCTGTAAGCTTCAGGGAGACCTGGGAGGGACGGGGCACAAAGACCTTAGGGATGCCTGGCAGGTCCTCAGGAGGAAGGATGGGGTGAGAAGGGAGGAGCTGGCTCTGTGGGTGGAGCCCAGGGGCCACAAAGGAGCCAGAGGGTCCAGGTCGCATGGGGTCAACCAGCTGCCACGTGGACCCCTCCAGGAGATGCTCAGGTTTGCTGGGTGACATGAATGCTGGTGTCAGAGGGTGCTGTGGAAGCTGCGCGATGTGGACAGAGGCTTCGATGGGGGGCCTCTTGGAGGGCTTCTGCTGCTGGCCCGTTTTCTCCTGAGAGTCTTCCCTAAGAACTGATGAGGGGCCCGGGAAGGGCTGCGGGGCTAGGAGCTCTTGGGGGGCAGTCTCTTGGGTGGCAGCTGTGCCGCTGCCTGGGTATGGAACGTTGGAAGAAACACTGGTCTGAATGGCCTCACCTTTGGTTAGCCGCTTCCGGGGACTTCCCTCTGCCTTCTTGATGCCCTTGATGCTTTGTTCAGGATCCATGACCTTCACAGAGACTTCAGATGCTACTCAGGGAGGTTTGGGGCAGGCTGCATTTACAAATAATCCTTGTGTCCCAGGGAGTTGTCCAGCTTCGGCCACATTGGTCAAGAACTGTGGAAGCCAAGGCCAAGACGGCTTTGGAGTTTTTTGCAAGTGTCACTGGCTGCAAGCAGACTCAGAGCAGGTCATCAGAGCCTGAGCTGTTCATGTTGGTGAGGCATGGTCCTCTACTCTGTAGACAGAAGGCACACCAGCATTTCCTGCTGGGATGTCTGCCATGAAAATGTCATGGAGGATGTCAGTATTGCCATTGTACTGTTTTGGTTGGCAGTGGCAAGTGTCCCCCACGAGTCCTCTGTGTACTATGGGAAAGGCTGAAGGTTGGAGACTTCTGTGTCCATGGCCCAGTCATCCCTGGTCCTTGCCCAAGAGATGTTACACTGGATGCAGGGGTGGCTCGGTCACAGCCTTTTCTTCCCTTTAGTTCTGTGTTGGAGATCAATGGCCTTGGAGGAGAAATCACGCTCTTCTATGGGGCAAAAGTGCACATACAGAAATACACACAGAGGAGAAGAGAGAGTTATTGTGACATGTCCAGAGCCCAGGCAGTTCTAACTCAATGTTAAAGCCAGCTGAGACCTCTAAAAGGTTAACCAGAGAAACTGAACCAGAACACACTTTCTTTAGCTCCACATACCAGGAGCAGCCTACCCCTCCCTCACTGCCTCTGCATTAAAAGTCTGTGTGTTTCTGACACTTGGCTGTGTGGGGTGTTGGTGGTAGCAAGCAGGGCAGGGCTGGGAACTACAGGGCTGTCAGGTGGAGGCTTGGGCTACCATCCCTGCTGTGTGGTCTTTTCCAAGTGAGCTTGAGAACTGCAAGCCTCTGCTGCCTAGTCTACAAACTGGATAACGGCAATTCCTGCCTCAAGTGCAATTTAGGGCTATGATGGGGTCCAATGAGAAAAAGATATGGATGCTGTTGGATGGACTGTGGATGGTGCTGGGCTAGTGCAGGAGGAAGTGCTCATGAGTTTAGTCACGGGGAGTTTTCCCAAGCACAGAGTCTTTCTGGCCCTGGATCTGAAAGTGTCCACAGGGACCTCATTCATCACTTTTTTTTTTGTTTGTTTTGGTACTTGGGATTGAACTTGGGACCTTTTGCTTGAGAGGCAGGCAGCAGAACCACTGAGCTAAATCCCCGGACCTCATTCATCAATTTTTATCCCATTACAAGCTCACTCCCCACCCCACCCCTCAGCCTGCTTTCAAGGCAAAGTTGTAAACTATTGCCACAGCCCATGGGAACTCACACTCTAACACAGGCATAGCCGCCTGATTGATCCTAACAAGCTCCAGGAAGATCATCTGTAAGCTTCTGCCAGCTTCACAGCCCCCCCGCTTTTCTGTCTAGAAATGCCTCAGGAGGCCGTGGAAGTACCTTAGAATGAGGCCTATGACAAATGGTGGACATAAGGAGAATGCTGTTCTGAGTGGAGCCCCAAGTATGGGCACTCTCCCAGGGCCAGCTGAAAGTCAGAGTAGCCTTCCTGGGCTCCAAGTGCACCTTCAGGGCCTTTATACCAGGATATGATCGGAATTTCAAAGCTGGAGGCCACTGTGACTCCATCTCTTCCAACCACTGCACTTGGCAGGTGAGAACACTGAGGACACAGAGGGACAGTGGTCTACTTGAGACCCGAGTTGTTTTTTTGTTTGTTTGTTTTGGTACCAGGGATCAAACTCAGGACCTTGTGCTTGTGAGGCAGGCGGTGGCATCACTGAGCTAAATCCCCAGGCCAAGACCCCAAGTTTTAAAGAGGTAGTTCCAGCATCTGAACCTGGACCCACAGCAGGATTTGCCCCCCACGCCCAGTCCCTACTCTGATGTCTGTTTAATAGGCAAAGCCTGGGAGAGTGACCAGTGCTTCTGATTTTCTTTCTCCTATATGCATGTCCTGCCCTGGCACCCTGACCCCAGGCTCCCTTGCTCCCCTCACCTTGCTTTTCATCAGTTTGCTGATGCAGACTTGGCAAGTTTTCCCACTGCACTTTCAGAGCATGCTCAGAAGACTAATGAGTCTGCCAGACTCAAATCACTGTCTCTCAAATGTTGGACCTTGGACCCTGTGACATGCAATGGAGGAGCAGATGATTCAGTCTAGCTAAAAATTATATATGTTTATTCTTTTCTATCTTGATTCTACAAAAAGTTAAAACTAACAAAATCATATTTATGGAAGAATGACAATCTATAAATAGCAGAAAATTATAAATAAGAGTAACAAATCATAACAAAGAAAATTAAGTAGGACAGGAGGTTAAGATATAAAAACAACACTGCAATACTAATTAGCTTACAACATTTCTATAGTTCAGTCGCACATTTATATAGGAGCTTCCTGGCAGCCAAGAAGAAAAAAGAGATGTGGTCCATTATAGAGTAATATAGCCAGAGAGGAATAAAGTTCCTTGCAGGGGCATGAATGATGCAGGGGAGAATCTATGTCTTCAATACCATCCCTTTAGCAAATGCACCGATTGATTTTTGTCAACAGAAGACCACAATTCAGCAAAAGCTATCCTTTAAGTAGTCAGATCCATCCTTTGACTTAGGCAGAAAAGGCATCCTCCCGAAGCAAGCTGAGTATGGAGCACCCAGGGAAATCTCATTTCATTATGTCATAGTCAACGGGGTAGCTGTATACAATATCAGCCAAACTGGGACACTTTTGAGGTGAAATGGGCCCTACTAATAATTAGGAGGAACCACAGGAATCAACTTAGCCTGTTCCAGGCAAACCAGGATAGATGGTTACCCTAGTTACCCTGTGATGGAAACCAGGCACGAGTACTAACTGTCTGGTTTGGTAGCAGCTTTGGACCTTTGCTATGTGGACTGAAATTGCACCATGGTTTCCTGGTGGATTCCTAGAGATGTCTGTGCAGCCCAGTCCCCTCACCTGACAGATGAGGAGACTGAGGGCTGGAAAGACAATAGGATTTGCCCTCACAACCACACTGCAGTGGTGACAGAGCCAGGCCATCCTGCACCTCTAGAGGCCACAGCAGGCTTGTCTCCTGACGCTATTAACAATATTCCCCTTGGCTCTGTGCAGATGGGTCCTGCAGCCCAGGGGTCCTTCTCTAGGGAGTCACATGTATGGCCCAGGGACATCACTGTGTCCACTGTGGAGCGGCAGCACTGGCCCTTTGGCTTGTGCTCTAACCGTGCTGTGGCTCCTGGGTGGGAGAGATGGGGAGCCTGGCTAAGGCGGGAGAGCACACCCTCGTGCCATTGCTCCACCTCACTTATGTAACCTACGGTAGGCAGAAGAGATGAACCATCTAAATTCAGATGAGGTGAGCACTGTGTGTGGCAGGCAGAGAGCTGATCTCTGGGCTGGGCCGGGCCTCTAGGCCTGGCTGCTCCTTCGTGTGTGTTAGGGAGGTGCAGAGAGCCCTTTGGATGCTGTGTGTGGGTAACAAAGGGTGACTGCATTTATTAATTGCCTTGACTTTCTCGGGAAAGCCCCTCAAAGCACCCCAAACACTAGTAAGTGGTAAGTGTGCTTCCACTGGAGGGATGGGCCCTGTGACATGACTTGGTGGTGAGATGGTATACATACAGCCAGCTGGCCCAGGAGGACCCTTCCTGCATTGTGCAGTCTAGAGCTTCTCCCTTTGCAGAACTGAAAGTTCCCCAGACCCAGGTGGGAAATGTCCAGGGGTTGGGGCTCAGGGAAATTCCCAGGGCCAGGCATGAGGGGCTGGGTGCAGGGGGGAGATATCAGGTGACTGTTGTGTCATTAGGCGACTCACTGGTTCTGATTTGCCTGCCTAGAGTCACTGTCCAGCTTACACCTCTGAGCTGGGCCTGGCATCGCTCCAGGGAGGAGCCACAGGACCCATTAGCACTGTCAGCCACCAAAGCATAGAGGCCTGGGAGCCCAAGTCCAGTCCTTTGTTCTGCAGACAGGGGGCTTGGGGACAACCAACTGAGGGCCTCACTGGCCCTCTGACCTCTGGGCCAGTGCTTTGTGCCACCTGCTTTGCCATGTATCATGATAGTGGGAGGTGCTTGATACAAGGGGCCCTGGGAAGGAGGAGCTGGTACCATGGGTATGGATGCTGAAGAACCCGTAGGACCTAAGACTTCAGCCTTGGACGGGATTCAGGTGCAGCAGGAATAGGTGTTGACTAATTTCAACTCCTTCAGGAGGACTATACTAGTTAATGGGACCAAGCCGCTAAGAACACGTCTCTTTCCTACTTTCTGTGCTTCAGAGGGTATGTGTGAAATTTTAATATAAGCCCAAAGTGACAGAAAAATCTCTCCAGGATTTCAGGGAATTAGTGAGGGCACCTATAAAAATTACCAGAGAAATGGAAACAAAGCTTCAGGGTTTCCCTTTCAGGCCACGGGGGCCTGAACCCCAGATCAGAGAAAGGACAGGCATCCTCTGCTGATAGTTGTGGAATGGCCACAGAGATCCTACTGCCTGTCACTGAGGCCACAGTACCTGGACAACTCTAGTTAGCAACCAGTTTACAACCACAAGGAGAAGTTGAGCTTCACCACCCACTGGTGAATATATCAGATTATTTAGCTTTCCTTTCTAGAAGCTTCCATAGGTTTAGTCACTGGAACAGCCTAACAGGGAAGAGAGCAGGCCTTGCTAGGGCTGGAGCCACAAAAGCCTTGTGGCAGTGGCGAATGATGGAAGAGCCAACAGGCTCAAGGCGAGGTAGCTTGAAGCCAAAGACCTGAAGCACCTTCGCATCCATGGGTTGGAGCACATGGCCAGCATCCAGAGTGGATACCTTTTACCTGGGGAGATGGGAGTTGGGCCCTATCAGGTGGGCAGTGCCACCAGTCCTGACAGGAGGCCGGCTCGAATGTGCCTCAGGCTCTGGCTAACGCTGAGGCCACTAGCCAAATGAGTCAAGGCTGAGGCAAGATGGGAACAAGGCTGTCAGAACAAGGGCATGTCACAACACATGCAAAGCACAGAAGGCTGGAGTGCAACTGACAAGAGGGCTCTGGTGCTCAGAGGCTCCAGGTAGGAACCCCAAACTGTGCTGGTGGTTCTGGGCACTGAGAGATGCTTCCACACATTCCTTCCTGTGGCCCAAATTGCAAAGGCTCAACTGTGCCAAGCAGACCCTCTAGTAGAGTTGTGGTCATGACTAACCCTCAGGAAGCAGGGAGAGGCACAACTCTGTCCCCATGGGGTGGTCAGGGGCAGGCTGTTGGACTGGACCAGGCTTTTGGGGCTACTGATCCCTCCCACCTTTGCTATGAATTTATTCATGGAAAACAGACTCATCCTAGGCTCCCAGGGTCTGGGCTGGAAGGAAAAAAATTCTCTTTTGATACAGTAAGCCAAATAGTACTTCTTCCCTAGGAGGCTGGATGTCTTGTGTAGCTTGAGCCTGGCCTGTACCTTGGGGAGTTCATCAGCATCTTCCTGGTGAACTTCTCCCCCATAGACAGCAGGGACCAGAGTTTATTCATCCTTGCATTCCC